CTTCCCTATCGTTCATTCATTCAGTAATCTGCTACCAAAACCATGAACTCATGTGGTACTTCACACTATGATGTCCTCGTACAAGCTGCTCAAACAGTAAACAAAGAGTTGGGTTTCTTCACAGACGAGTCTGTGGACGAAGACGACCATCCAGACCTGGAACGTGAGATTTGGTTCTTGAGTTCTTCCCTTGACTACTACTACTTAAATGGGATATACCCATTTGGCACCACTAGAGTCTCCGAAGACTTCAGCAAGAATTGGGTTGGCTTGACCCTCGGTGAGTTCGTTGACGAGAATCAAAAGTTGAGAAAGAGATACAAGGGAAGGGTGAGGAAGGTGTGCAAAAAGGGTCAACTTTTGGAGCCCCGTGAGTAAGAGGCGTTTGACATAGCGAACAAGATATGGGGTAGCAGAAGTGGAGGCAAGCGTGAAGATCATCAAGACCCCATTCTTTTAGCAGAAGATCATGGAAGTGGTAGAGGGGAGGAGAAGGGGCTAGAAGACCCGTTGGCTCAGGCCCCGCTATTGAAGGAGGCCTTCAAGCTTGGCATCAACATCTCCAATGACCTTAAGATCCCAGCTTCAACGTATGATGTTGTTAAACGGGGTCTAGCTACATTGGGAAGTGCAAATTTGAAGGAATGGAATGAGAAATGGAAGAAGATACAGGTTGACGAACTCAAGATTTTCCTGGAAAAGCTCAATTTGATCAGACAGCAAACACTGGTTTTGTTGGATGAAATTGAATACTGAATTAAGGGCCCTGCAATTAGTGTTGCAATCTTGCACTGTATTCTTCACTTTTTACCCCAAATAATGTCCTTTCTCACTTTTAAAAATCATGAGAGCCTGGCTTGGATGTCAGTCTTCCCTCTTCAGGTGATGCAAGGTAGTACTACATGGTTACTGATTTTAGAAAAAGGATAATAAAATGCCATGAGCTCATAGAGATGAGTTATTTTTTTGTCACCATATGAGTTCTACATTTTGGATTAATTGGTAAGAAAGAAACAAAGAAAGCCTTTCTTTGATTCGGGCAAAACTAAAGATTTTTCTTCAACTCACTAACTAAAGAAGAGTTATGATAGAATTCTGAAGTGACCTATTAAATGATATCCCATTCGATCCAAACAGGTGAAAAATCATAATGAAGAGGGAAGCAAAAACAAATAGCACGCTTAAGATTCCCTTTCATTCCCATAGCCCTAATCGAGTCACCAATTAACCATTTCAAAAGCCAAAATAGAACTATTAAAAACGATCAAGCAAAAACTAAAACGACATCACAAAATTCCTTAAAGCCTCAGAACCACTTCTGATATGGAAGAGAAAATTTGAGTTATAACTACTAATTAAGTATAAAAAAAATTACATCAAGATTGAAAGGCGAAATAATTATGTAATTTTTCAACAATTTCTCTTCAGAAGGAACAAGCTAAAGATTGTTCTATTCGCATTACTAAATCAACTTCCAGAAAACACCTAATTCCACACGTTAAATTGACGCTACATTCGCACAATATTCGACTTCCAGAAAACAATTAGGACTAATGAAAATTAAAATGCTCATTAGATTACTCGAAATTCTTCGAAGGCAGAGAATTAATCGCTAAATTTGGGAAAAATAAACCGATTTTTGAAACAATAGATCTAACGACAAACACGAAGGAAAAAATGAACGCGGATCAGAAGTGGTGAAGAAGTTACCTCGGCGGCGAGGTATCCGGGAGCGACGGGAAATTGGAGGGTAGCTTTGCTGCTCCATGAGGTGGATATAATGAAAAAACTAATATAAAAAAAAAACAATAGATATTAAATGAAAATAAAATAAAAAAATTAATAATTAAATAAAAAATTATCAGTTAGTTTTTTATTAACTATTATAAAAATTAATAATTATTATTGATATTACAATTTGTGAGAATGTAAAAATATATTTAAATTAAATTCGCATGCTATTGAATGAATATGGATTTTGAATCACGATGAAACAAAATTCATACAATGTTAATCTCCAATTGAAATATGTAAACAACAATAGTATACAATTCAAAGGCCAAATAGGAATATAAATCATAATTGTTAAAGTATCATAAATCAAGAAAAAAAAGCATATTTAAGTAATAATAGCATTTTATAAAACTACATTCACTTTGGCATACAACTTCATTTGTTGATCTTAGTGCAGTGAGCCACTTTTTATTAGAGAAACTTCAAAGCAAATAAATTTAATTTTGAAGTAATAAACATAATTAAAGTAATTTTAAGAGCTTGTGTATTTATTAATTTTGTTTACTTTAATTTTAAGTTAAATTTAAATATTTAAAATTAATAAATTTTATTAAAAAATATTTATTACACTCTGTGTCTTTAATTTTTAATATAATGAATAATTCGTTTTATGATAAATATTTATTACTTTTAATAGTTAAGCTTGATTTTAAAGCTTAAAATTAACATAGCTATTATTTTTTGGCCAAAAAATTAGTTCTTGCATTTTTTTATGATTTTCAATGTAATTATATAAGTCAAATTAATTTATATTCCTATTTCAAAAATATTCTAATAGTTGAAAAATAATTTTATCAAAATCTATTTTACTCAATTTTAATAAACAAGCACTGAATTCACTAATCATAAACTACAAGTACGGTCATTTAAACATAAGTGAGTGATGTTGATGGATAAAGTTTTGTGCAAGAAAATATTGATAAGATCTAGTTAGTTTGGATTTCAAGAACATTTTGTAGTACAATCTATCCTCTTCCCTTCGGAGTCGAAAATACCACCATGAAGATGAAGCCCCGTGCAACACCAACATGCCACTACGTTGTCCTCGTGGAAGCAGATCAAACTTTGAACAAAGAGTTGGGCTTCTTCACGGACGACTCTGTCGAAGAAGACGGCGATCAAAACATTGAACGTGAGATATGGTTCTCGGGTTCTTCCCTTCACTACTACTACTACTCCAAGGCCATTTACCCATTTGCCATCTCCAAAAGCAGGGAAGATTTCTGCAAGAATTTGGGTGAAGAGGCGTTTGAATTGGGAAACAAGATACGGGGTAGCAGAAGTGGTGGCAAGCGTGAAGATCATCATCAAGAGATCATGATTTCAGCACAACATAAAAATTAAAGAGAAGGAGGAGCAAGAGAACCCTTTGGCTCAGTTCTCGTTATTGAAGGAGAGCTTCATGTTTGGTGCAAGTTCTCAGGACCCAGTTTCTTCAGATGATGTTTTCAAAGAGGGTCTAGCTGTCTTGGGAAGTGGAAAACTGAGGAGGAAATGGAATGAGGAGAGGAAGATAAACAGGTTCGAGAAACCAAGATGTTTCGAGAGAGGATCAATTGGATAAGGAAGCAGGCAACGATTTTGTTAGATCAGATTGATAGGTCTTCCAGTTAGTGTTAATGTTGCAGTCTTGGATTAGACATATAGTGTATATCTTTCTTTTTTTTACTTTTTCTTTTTTTTCCTCTCTGAATTATGCCTATTTTCATTCTTTACAACTGTTGTTGGAGTAAGGCTTAGAAAGATTGATGATCCAAAAGAGAAATGCTTTTGCATTTTGGATGATGACCGTTCTACATTACTGATTTTAGGATAAGGGTAATAATAATGTCTTCTATGTTTATTTTCTATTTTTAAAAGAGTTTTTAATTTTTTTTAAATATAATATAAATTTATACTATATTTAAAAAAAAATTAAAAACTTTTCTTAAAATAGAAATCAAACATATCCTTAGTCTCAATTTGCAGTCTTCTAAAACTACAAAAATCATTCAATTTTTTTATAAATTTTAATCAATTACTAGAAATGTATTAAAAAGAAGTTCCGTACGGGGAATCGGTCCTCACAAGTCACAATCTCCCCTATCTTTGCTCACATTCCACTCATGCCAGAACCAATTATTACTAAACATCTCGTTTTGACAAGCTTATTTTTCTGATGAACCCAACAAGTTATACATACGAAACTCTCTGTGAATACTCCCTATGAATAGCAAAGAAGCCGCCACACTGAAGTGAAGTCGACTTCTGGGCTGGGTCGTATATTAATATAACAGATTTCAAAATCAATGACAATGGGTGAGTAGTGACAGCGAGTGAACTGTAGGCATGGTGGTTTGCATTGTTTGCTGGGTGGTAAGTTTATGAAGCCGTGCTACTGCTTCACTACATTTTCCGAAGTCAATATGTAAGTTATATCATGCTTAGCATTACATATTAAAAAAAATAAAAAACTACATTAGCAATAACAATAACAAGTCAAACATTAAAAACGACTTTTTGACTTTTATACTTTAAAACATATATTATTTTCATATTTTCACAGTCAATCGCAATCAAATCTACTTAACAAATGTTCTGTTTTGTAAGACTCCAACCACGCCCCGGGCCTCCCAACACAAAAGAAATAAATAGACAAGCAATGCAAGCAAAACAACAGTGTCTAATTGTTTTGAAATTTATTTTGTAATTTTACTTTTAATTACAAACCAAAAACCTTAGTTTCATTCTATTTTTTATTTTCAAAAATTTATAGAGAAAACAATTAATAAAAAATATTTTTTATAATTCTTGTGCAAATTTTGAAAAAAAAAAAAAAAAGGGGGATTAAATACAATATGAAATTTAATAATTAAAAATAAAAACAAGGGAAAATACTGCACGTTTTTTATACCCCAAACAGGAAGCAGCCTCTTAACTTGTTGAAGCACCACAACGTTTCAAACTTACGCCATTTACGAACTAATTTCAAAACCAGATCAATGATAAAGCGAACCGAGAAATCCCTTGATAATTCACAACTCATTTTAGCAGTAATAATTTAATAAATAAAATAAAAGGAACCCAGCATTTTCATTCGAAGGTAGAACTTTTCCAGAACAATTGATTCCGTTATGGAGCCATAGAAACATTTTCACACCCCTGTTATATAAAGGTCACAACCAACGTATAAAAATTAAAAGCATTGTCATCCGCACAAAATGGGTAACAAAAGGTTACATTAGCATTAAAATGAGGGAAGGGGAGGGGGGGGAATCAAATTTCGATTATCTCTTCGTGCGAATTACCCTTATATTCACATCACTAACAGAAAATCTAACTACAGCTACAAGACAAAGGATCAAATCCTGTTTCAAACAAAGAAACAGGAAGGAGAATAAAGCAAAACTAAACTTTATAGTGGCTCAAGAGGAGAAAAAAGACGCATTTACGACTCATCATCAGCACCAGCACCCTTTGATGAGGCCCCAGCCTTCTTGGGGAGTAAGAGATTGTGGATATTAGGCATCACACCACCATTGGCAATGGTCACATCCCCGAGAAGCTTGCTCAACTCTTCGTCGTTCCTCACCGCAAGTTGGATATGGCGAGGCACAATTCGAGTCTTCTTGTTATCTCTCGCAGCGTTCCCAGCCAACTCAAGAACCTGAACAAGTTCAATTCAAACCCACAATTATTCAAAATTAAACTAATACCGAACAATTAACACTAATAAAAGCCAAATTAATTATTCAATTCTTCAAATCCACTACTGTACGCTGAAATTGGGGAAACCAACCCTAATTTCGAAACGCTAGATCTAAGCACAAAATTGAATGTGGTTAAGGGAAATTACCTCAGCGGCAAGATATTCAAGGACGGCTGCGAGGTAGACGGGAGCTCCGGCGCCAACGCGCTCAGCGTACTTGCCGGCTTTGAGGAAGCGAGCGATACGACCAACGGGGAATTGAAGACCGGCTTTGCTGCTCCGTGAAGTGGCCTTCTTGGCGGAGCCAGATCCTAGGGTTTTGCCTCTACCTGCCATTGTTGAATTGTCACAGGCTCTGATGAGAGAAAAGCGTTCACAGATTCGTAGAGAGAGTTCCAACAGCAGAGAGAGAAACAGATGCAAAGCTAAGCGAAGATACGAAGAAGGCGTAAGCGGTTAATTGGTTTATATAGTGGGTTCTGTTTAAAGTTGCCCAATGAAATTTAACGACGTGGATTGACTATAATTACCGTTGGATTTTATTAAATGAACGGTTGAGATGGGTTTCGGGTGGATCGGCTAGTTTTGTCTAATGCGTAACGCGATGCGATCTTTATCTACGATGCTGGAGTACGTCACCGCAATGATCTATGATGTGTGTGAATATTCTTTCATGCATAATTAAAAATAAATTTTAATAAACTGAGAAATATATTGTTAAGATTTTCGTAACTAAATAAATATATATACATATATATCATTAAATTTTTATATCTTTGTTATTAAATTTTTAACGTTAAATGCAAAGATTTTTTTAACAATATATTAATTACTAATGAAATTTTAATTGCAGATATCCATTTATAAATTTTAATATAGTTTCAATTTTGATCAATTATTCAATAAATACTTGGAAGAAAGAAAATTAAAGAGATAAATTAACGTAAATTTCTTTAAAATTAAAATCAACTTCTATATATTAATTTTTGGAGTGATTAAAAGGAAAAAAACTTTTTTAAAAATTATTGTTGATAATTTAATTTAAAAAATTTATTTCCTTTTTCTATTAATATTTATTGAAAAGAAGGTTGAGATGAGAAAAAATAAATAAAAGAAGATCAAAGGAAACAAAAATATAATTTAAATAAAGCAAGAGATAAAACAGAGTGAACGTTATGCTCAAATCACTATATAAAATATATGCATGGAGTAACATGTAAATGTTTATAAGTGTAACTTGAAAGAATGCAAGTGTAATATCATGAAAATTGCTTATACCAAACTATTGATAACACCCAACTTTTTTGTGTAACAATTTATTTTAAAATTATTTAATAGTATTAAATATTTTGGTTTTATTTTAATGAAATTCATATTGTAATATTAGAATAATTCATGTTTAAGTATATTTTGCGTCAATTCAAACTCACCATTAATTAATCATATGAGATTTTTTTGTTTCAATTATTTCCCTTCACTTGTACTATAATGTAATCAAAATCTTTCAATAATGTTTCAATTTCATTAATTTTTCTGATGTGTTAAATGTAATTTATCGAACAATATTATACTCTGGGGAAATATTGGACGTAGCCTTATTTCGACGATGATTTCTTTAATTGATGTTCATTTAATGATCAAATCTTTAAAAATTTGTGAAATTTAACAAAATTCTCTGTATCAACATTAAAAATTTGATAATAAAAATACAAAGATATTCTTTATCCATATTAAAAAAAACATGTAAGAGTATATTAGTAGTTATTTTTTGTCCACACAATATATCGAGTAAGATAAGTATAAGATTCAATACCTCTTATTGATTAAGTTTATTTACTAATTTTGTTAAGAAATTGAAAATTATAATCAAGCGTATTGAATTAGTTTGATTTATTTTAGTGTACATTATGACTTATGAATATTACCAGTATTCAGGTTCAATTTGAATACACTTTTAAAAATGTTTTTATAAGTTAAAAATATTTTATCTTTTCAAATTAAAAAAAAAATAAAAAATAAAAAACGTAAATTATTTATAACTTAAAAAATATATATTTATTTTTATACTAATTTTGTTCTTTTATAAATATTTCTTTAAAATTGTATCTAAACTTTTCCTAAATCAAGCTCTATTATGACTACAATGGAAGATGACTTAGGAGTAATGATGCCACGATGAGTGACTTAGTAATGAGATACCCTTGGTGTCTTCCTAACTGTTATTTTTAAGCAATTAAAAATGCTTAATCTTAATTATTATTCTAAAAACCATTTTCATATTCCTCTAACATGTTCATGAATCACAACTAAAAAAATGGACAAAAATATTCAATTTGAACCAAAACAATCTTGGTTTAAGCATTGAATCTAAGAAACTGAAACAAATTTGTAAAATTGAATGAAATTGAAATGATCATTTTTTAAGCATGGACAATATTTTTTTAGTTCATGTCAAATTTAAATTATATCAAATTGTAATTCTATATGATAATGAATATGTGACTTTGAAAGAAATCTTAAAAAAAAAGAGCGTAGCAAAAATGAGAATGTTAAAATCAATTTGTGATTATGCTAAAATTACAACATTATTAAAAATTGATTGTGTGTAACAATTCGTTGAGGAAACTATAACCAAAAAATTAGTTAAAGTGATTTAGATATGTGAAAAAAAAAAAAGTCACAACAAACACCAATAACAAAGGTTTATTGTATCATTGTATGACTTTTATTTTTATTTTAAATGAAGAGAAATTAAAAAGAACCATTAAAAATTATTTAAAAAATCTCATGATAAATGATATTTTTTTTTAAAAATAATTTTTATTCGAGTCTAACAATTTGATATAATTCATGCAGTCAGTGTTACATAATGGAACAAGACTTTTATTATTGATGAATAACAAAGTTAAATAAAAATAATGCTAAATGATCCATTTTTTTAGTTATTTAATTCAAAATATTTATAAAGTATTAAAAGTGGAGTAAGAAGCTATTATGAAACAAAACTTATTTGTAAATTAAAAAAATCTTATTCGTCAATTAAAGCTAGAGTACTTTAAAAATTCCAAACACTTTATTTAAAAGGTTTAAGTTTGATTCTTATAGCTAATTAGTATTGTTTTAGTCTCAAATTAGAGATTGAACATAGATATGAGTGAACTTAATAAATTTGATCTAATCCAAGATTTAAAAAATTAAAGGATTTAGATATTGAGGTTAAATTAAGTAAAAGGGTGTTAAAACAAATTAATATTAGGTTAATTAAATTATCAAGTTATGCAAGAATAGAATTAAATTATCTAGATTTGATGTTGAACAAAATGATGGTTTGTACTGCCAAGTCTTTACCTGCTGCTCAACAATCACAATGGAAGATCCCATCACCAACAAATGTCATTGAATCTAGACCATATTTTATACATAAATTTTGTTAACATCAATTTTTATGATTAATTTTAATTGTTTTTCAAGTAAAGCAAAAATTTATTTTTCGTAATAAAAAATTAATTCTAATTATTTAAAATTTAAATATTTACTGTAGCACATTAGTAGATTGCACCAACATCAAAGGGCCACCAATATTTAATTCGTTACTTATAGAAATCCAATAACACTTATATAAGTGAATGCATGAAACAAGACAATATTGAATTTGAGATAGCAGTTGAAAGACATTGGGGAAAAAAAGAAAAAAAAAGGACAGCACCCACACCTCTACCTATGGGTGAGTTGTGATGGCATGTGAACTGTATGCACTGTGGTACGCATTGTTTGTTGGGTGGTAACTAAATGCAGCTATGCTACACTGCTTCACTCTGATACTTTACAAAGTCAAATGTGTTGGACATATTTTATGCTTAGTTCTTAAGATAAAAATTAAAAAACAATACAAATTTTTAAAAATATAGTATTTAATATTATTATTACATCAGTTAATTTCTGTAATATTCTAGATCTTTAAAGTCACGTTGAAATAAAAACAAAACTTGCACGAAATCATATTAAATACGAATGACATATTCCATGCTTAAAAGATTACGACATATTCTTATTTGGCTTAAATTTTGAAACTCTTTACTTGTATAATACTATTAAATAACAGTAATAAAATAAGTTCTGGATGCCATGAATATAGAATCCGAAAGGTGAGGTTTTTTCGAGTCAACGAAGTTCGGGTTTATAAGACACCCCCGCCCCAAAACAATGCAACGCATGCAACATATGTATCTCGCATTGGGAGGCTCTTTCGAGTTACCATATGAATAGAATATGAGAGAAAAAGACTCATGTATCTTGTTAAGAGTCCGACAAAAGACCCGTATCTTTCTTTCAAATAATTTACACATCCAGTACTGGAGAGGTTTTCAGTATCTCGTTTTAAACCAAGGCCAAATGCTAAACTCACTCACATTCCAAATCTATGATAAACTGAAAGATTCCTAAATATAAACTACAACATATTCTCAGAAGAAACTATGATAAAGGAGAATAGGTTAAAAAACATTACCAAAAAGAAACAAATTTGACAACTACTCTAGATTCCAATCCATGATAATTAACCATACTCCGGCATTTCGCTCGAACCAAACAACTACACCACAAAATATTGTATACACATGCGCTTTCATTCAAAGGCAATGCCAACAGAGCATTAATCATATTATGGAGCCATCGAATAAATTCTCAATCCACCCCCATATGAGATAAAGGTTTCACGAATCAACGTATAGGAATCAGTACCATTGCATCCATACCAACTAAGTATCAAAGGCTACATCGAGATTTAAATGGGTAAAAAAATCAAATTTCAACAATCTCTTCTTATAAGGAAGATGTGGAATACCCTTATATGCACATTACTAACAAGATCTAACTAGAGCTACAAGACACAAGGATCAAATCCTGTTTCAAACTAATAAACAGAAAGAAGAAAAAAAACTAAATTTTATAGTGGTTAAAGAAAAACAAAATGCAACATTTAAGACTCATCGTCAGCACCAGCACCCTTTGAAGAGGCCCCGGTCTTCTTGGGGAGCAAGAGATTGTGGATATTAGGCATCACACCACCATTAGCAATGGTCACGTCGCCAAGAAGCTTGCTCAACTCTTCATCGTTTCTAACAGCCAATTGGATATGGCGAGGCACAATTCGAGTCTTCTTGTTGTCTCTCGCAGCGTTCCCAGCCAATTCAAGAACCTGACAACGTTCAATTTAAAGCACAATCATGTCAAACTCAACTTCGACAACACAATAAACACTAATAAAATCCAAATCGCTCGTTTAATTCTTCATAACTCCTATTGCTCCCCAAAATTGGGGAAACCAACCCTAATTTTGAAACCCTAGATCTAAGCACAAAATTGAATGCAAAATTGAATGTGGTTAAGGGAAACTACCTCAGCGGCGAGATATTCAAGGACGGCGGCGAGGTAGACGGGAGCTCCGGCGCCGACGCGCTCAGCGTACTTGCCGGCTTTGAGGAAGCGAGCGATACGACCGACGGGGAATTGAAGACCGGCTTTGCTGCTCCGTGAGGTGGCCTTCTTGGCGGAGCCAGATCCTAGGGTTTTGCCTCTACCTGCCATTGTTGAATTGTCACGGGTTTCGATGAGAAGAGAGTGTTGGCTGAAGCCTAGGGAGAGAGGGTTCCAATGGCGGAGAAAAACAGAAGGAAAGATATATAGGCTTTAAGTGGTTGCTTGGCTTATATAGTGGGTTATGTTGAAATTTGACCAATGAAATTTAACAACACGGATTGAGTATGATGGCCGTTCGATTTTATTAGTGTGAACGGTTGAGATGGGTTTGTAGTGGATCGAGTAGCGCGTATGAAAGCAGTGTATAAGCTAGAAGTATTAAGGAACTATACAAAATGAAAAATAAAAAATATGATAAATAATTAAGCTGATAAAAAATAAATAAATTTTAAATATAAAAATATAATTAGTATTTACAAAAGTATTGCAATTTTTAATATAACGTTGAAATTGAAACAATATATATTTTAATATTTTTTAAAATATTTTTAGTTATTGATTAAAATTTATTAAAAATATTACTTTTTTTTTACTTCTAATTTAATGTATTTTTATAATTCTATAATTTTTAATAAATTTGAGGCAATCATTATTAATATATTAAAATATATATTACCAATATTTTTATATATAATATTTAAATTACTTAATCATCATTTAAGCATATAAAAACATTGAGAATATAAATTTTATAAATAACGACAAAAAAATATTTTTTTTATTTTACCTTTTATGTACCTATTTATAAATATTAATAACTAAATTTTAATTTTAAAAAAAATAAGTAAAAATTGTCGTGTAATATCTTTCAAATTTCTTTACATTAAACCTTGACAAATGTGAACTTATTTTAAAACTATTTGAACTCATATATAATTACTAAATAACTATCTTCAACATAAAATTTTTTGTAAAAATCTGTTGTTTGCAACTTCACTGAATGAAATATATAATAAATATTAAAAGAGTACAAGAACATAGAACATGTAAAGTTTAAAAGTGTCACTTTCAAAACCTTATTAATTATATTTTCTATTTGTCTATATATAGATAGTAATTAACTTGCAAATTATACACCTTAATTTGTTAATAATTGTCAACTTATTTTAAATTCTAGATAACAAGGTATTTTGATAATTTCCATTCACTTTTGTTTCAGTTCAGTTAATGTCATCCAATATGATTTTCTAATTTTATTAATACACTAAATGCAACTTTATCGAACAATACTTTTCTATGAACGAGGATTATAATATCTTCCCTTTATTTGTAAAAAGCAAATATGATGCTTTTCAATAAGTAAAAAGGAATTAACTTTGAATCCTTGATATTTGTAGATATAAAATGAATTGCTAAGATTAATCGGTTAAAAGGTTAAAAATTAAGAAGAACAACTGATTACGTTGGATAATAAAATGTTAATGAAGGGTAAATCTCTTTCCTCTTCATCTCTACGACAATTCCTCTATTTTCACCTCTTTTATTTTTTCTCAACCTCCTTCATTTTTAGATTTTTTTTTCATCTAAACTTTGAAATTTGTTGGATAAAATTAACTAAGATGAGATTTCTCCTCTGTGACTTCCTTCATAATTTCCTTTGAATTACATGTCCAATGAGACATGGCTGGAAGAACATGAAACATGATTGGGAAAAGTCACTTCTACGTAAATTGAATTGGATGACTGAAGCAATAATTCTTTACAAAGTATATTAAAAAAATTAAAATGTAAGTTCTACATGAGTTTTCTCAGATAACCTATGTAAATAAGTAAATTATTACTTCTCTTTTATCTCTTTCCTCTTCATCTCTATGACAGCTCCTCCATTTTCATCTCTCTTATTTCTTGTCAACCTCCTTTATTCCTAGATTTTTTTTTCATCTAAATTTTAAAATTTGTTAGATAAAATTAACTAAGATGAAATTTCTCCTCTCTAACTTCCTTCATAATTTCCTTTGAATTACATGCACTGGCCTATCAATCTGGATTCCAATGAGACCTGGCTGGAAGAACATAAAATATGGTTAGGAAAAGTCACTTCTACATTAGTTGAATTAGATGACCGAAGTAATAATTCTTTACAAAGTATATTTAAAAAATTAAAATGTAAGTTCTACATGGGTTTTCTCAGATAACCGATGTAAATAAGTAAATTGCTATTTCTCCTTTATCTTTTTTCTCTTCACTACGACAACTCCTCCATTTTCATCTCTTATTTCTTCTCAACCTCCTTCATTCCCATATTTTTTTTCATCTAAACTTTAAAATTTGTTGGATAAAATTAACTAAGATGAGATTTCTCCTCTGTGACTTCCTTCATAATTTCCTTTGAATTACATGTCCAATGAGACATGGCTGGAAGAACATGAAACGTGATTGGAAAAAGTCATTTCTACATCAATTGAATTGGATGATCGAAGCAATAATTCTTTACAAAGTATATTTAAAAATTTAAAACGTAAGTTCTACATGGGTTTTCTCATATAACCGATGTAAATAAATAAATTGCAACTTCTCCTTTATCTCTTTCCTCTTCACTACGACAACTCCTCCATTTTCATCTCTCTTATTTCTTCTCAACCTCCTTCATTTCTAGATTTTTTTTTCACCTAAACTTTGAAATTTGTTGGATAAAATAAGTAAGATGAGATTTCTCCTCTGTGACTTCCTTCATAATTTCCTTTGAATTACATGCACTGGCCTATCAATCTGGATTCCAATGAGACATGGCTGGAAGAACATAAAACATGGTTAGGAAAAGTCACTTCTACATCAGTTGAATTAGATGACCGAAGCAATAATTTTTTACAAAGTATATTTAAAAAATTAAAATGTAAGTTCTACATGGGTTTTCTCAGCCGATGTAAATAAGTAAATTGCTACTTCTCCTTTATCTCTTTCCTCTTCACTACGACAACTCCTCCATTTTCATCTCTTATTTCTTCTCAACCTCCTTCATTCCCATATTTTTTTTCATCTAAACTTTGAAATTTGTTGGATAAAATTAACTAAGATGAGATTTCTCCTCTGTGACTTCCTTCATAATTTCCTTTGAATTACATGTCCAATGAGACATGGCTGGAAAAACATGAAACGTGGTTGGGAAAAGTTACTTCTACGTAAGTTGAATTGGATGACTGAAGCAATAATTCTTTACAAAGTATATTAAAAAAATTAAAACGTAAGTTCTACACGAGTTTTCTCAGATAACCTATGTAAATAAGTAAATTACTATTTCTCCTTTATCTCTTTCCTCTTCATCTCTACGACAGCTCCTCCATTTTCATCTCTCTTATTTCTTCTCAACCTCCTTTATTCCTAGATTTTTTTTTTCATCTAAACTTTGAAATTTGTTGGATAAAATTAACTAAGATGAGATTTCTCCTCTCTGACTTCCTTCATAATTTCCTTTGAATTACATGCACTGGCCTATCAATCTGGATTCCAATGAGACATGGCTGGAAGAACATGAAACGTGGTTGGGAAAAGTCACTTCTACATAAGTTGAATTGGATGACCGAAACAATAATTCTTTACAAAGTATATTTAAAAAATTAAAACATAAGTTCTACCTAGGTTTTCTCATATAACTGATATAAAAATTAGCGACATAAACCCAACACAACCGATGCAAATACAGTCGATGCGAAAAATGTATAAAGTGATTGCCTAATGACATTAGACTTGTCACAGACCAGATACAAATTGAATCCATTCGCAAATATAAAAGGTGCTCACCTAATCATATTAGTTTTATAACACAACCGATGCAAATGTAAAGGCGGCACAAATCATTGTTCAAGTTTAACTCTGTCCACAATTTAATATCTTTTAACTCTCAAACCCTTGCAGAAATTATCCAATATTTATTGTTTTTTTCACCGTCTCTGACTTGCACAACCAATTTCATTGCAGTAATACAGTCACCTCTTTATTGAGGGAGACTAAGAACACAACTCAATACAACTGTACATTACACAATCTTTTTAAATATGCAACCCAGATATATATTTTTAATATACACTACATTAATATTAATAAACCCATTGCAACTCACTATTGTTGAAATATTTTTCTTTCGAAACATTAATTTCTACAATGGATTTTGAATATATCCGACATTCATAGTTATTAACCCATCAAGATATCCCTACTTTTTATATTGAATCTCCACAACCTGATATTCTTTTTATCTTAACTTTATACATACTTAATATTTAAAATTTCATGTTTTTAACATTGTAAACGCTCCACACCCGTTGTTCTGTAAATATAATTTTTAATATAACGCTGAAGATGAAGAGAACAAGATGACCAACACCAAGAAGAAGAAGAGGAACAAAACACGAAGAAAGAATAAAAATACGAAATTACCAATGTATTCTTTCAAAAATCTAACTTGAATAATCGGTATCCTGTAATTCATTCTTAACCATTTGATTAAAATCAACGGTCCATGATACATGATAGCTTTTGCAAAAGATTTCTTTTCTTTACTTTTTACAATTAAGAGAGGATATTAGAACCCGCCAAATTCTCAAACAATACTTTGGTCAAACTTTTGCTTTCATTTTTTTCTATATTAAATCAATGGCTAAGAGTTTTTGGAGAAACAATCTTCTAACATCTTTCGTAAAAGTAAGCAATGCTTATTAAAATGATTGGGAGAATGCTATAATCCACCCTTCAAATGTAAGATTTTCATAAAAACTCTTGCTTGCAACTTTATTTTGAATGATATATCCTAATAGAGTGCAAGAACATGGAGCATGCATGTAAAGTTTAAAAGTTTAGCTTCGAAGACCTTATTCTATCTTCTATTTGTCTATATATAGATAGTCCTTAAGTAACTTGCAAACTGTCCACTCCAATTTGTTATAACTATCAACTTATTTTAAAATTCTAGAGATAAGATGTGTTTCGATCATTTTCCTTCACTTTTGCTCCATTTTAGATAATGTCATGATTTTCTAATTTTATTAATACACTAAAACATTCTCGAATAATACTTTTTTATTAACTTCTTGAACAATACTTTGGTCTAACTTTTGTTTTACTCTTAACAGTTTTCTTTGATTGAAGTTAATTTAATTAAAATTTTAATTAACTATTTATAAATAATTAAATATCAATAAGT